CTCTCTGCCTCTCTCTGCCTCTCTCTGCCTCTCTCTGCCTCTCTCTGCCTCTCTTTGCCTCTCTCTGCCTCTCTCTGCCTCTCTCTGCCTCTCTGCCCCTGCCTCTGCCTTGAGTGCTAGGATTGAAGGCATTTGCCACCATCTGGATCTATTTTTAAGAACAACAAGAAAACCCAACTCATTGCTCTCTATTTCATATAATTCTAATGGTTTCTAGATTTTGAAAGAGGAGGCCTCAAGAAAGATCCTTGAACTGGTCCTTTTACTTTTCTGTTTTCCTTTTTTTGTTTTTGATCAAGGACCATGTAATACCCACAGTGACTTAATTCAATAACAATTTCCCTATTTTCTATTAAAATGAATAACATATTATATATAATGTGTGAGTATCTGAGATCTAGAAATCAAGTTACAAGCGATTATAACTAATCCTGGTAGTAAGTGAGAAAGGGGAGCTTAGCCAGCATGGAGACCTTTCTGTGGTAGGGCTTACTAGAATTTATTACAGATTTGACTTGACAGATGGCAGCAGAAATGACAGCAAACCTAGCAGTTCAAATTTTGTTTTATTGAGACAGTTTTACCCTGTAGCTCAGGCTGGCTTCAAACTCACCCAGTCTTTTTGCCTTAGCCGTCACAGTATTGATTATAGTTGAGACTACCAAGTTTGGCTTCTTGAATTTATATGAGGGAAGAAATGAGGTCTTGTCACATATTTTAATTTTTTTATTTTAATATTCTATGTATGGGTGAAATTTTGCCGGCATGTGCATGCAGTATCCAAAGTGGCCAGAAGAGGGTTCCAGATCCCCTGGAATTGTGGGTGATTGCAAACTGCCATGCTTCTGCTGTGAATAAGAACCCAGGTTCTCTTAACTGCTGAGCCTTCACTACAGCCCTCAGTAATTTTTTTTAATTTTTATTTTATGTTTTGCCTGGATGTATGTCTGTGTACCATTTGCATGCTTAGTGCCTGTGGAGACCAGAAAAGGCATCAAATTCTATTTGCTGGAACTAGAGTTACAGATGTTTGTGAGCCATCACGTGGGTGCTGACAATCAAACCCAGGTTCTCTGGAAGAGCAGGCAGTGCTCCTAACTGCTGACCCACCAATTTTTAATATGTGTTTCCGCCTGGGAGCTTAGACAGTGTGAAGACTATTCTTGAGGACTGGTAATCTTAGGAAGCTGGGCCTTTAAAGAAAAAGGTTACCCTGTATTTAAGTATTTTTAACATTCCAGTGGTTCTTCTTTTTAAAAGTATGTGCGTTGTGCACATGTGTGTGTGTGCGTTTGCACACTCATGCGCATGTGTGTGCACATGCTGTACCACAGTGTACTTGTGAAGGTTTCAGGACAACTTTGTGAAGTTTTCTCTTTCCTCCTTAGGTGGGTCCAAACATGGGTTCTAAACTACTCAGTAGAAGCTGAGTCTCGGGTTTGCAAGATGAGCTCCTCTACCTGCTGGGCAGCTCACAGGGCCCAGCTTTGCTTTCTCACTTCTTCAGTCAAATCAAGAATGGGAATGGGGTGGGTGGGACAGACTCTCAGGAGGACTTTGATTCCTACACAATATTTCTTTTCAGTGCTCTTCTAAGGGCACATTGTCACTGATTCCCAGTCCCCTATCCCACACTGCCACAGGCTCCTACTTTAGCTGACTTTATTGTCTGTGCTATTTGAGTTGATGCGCACAGTCTGGCTAGAAAGCCATGACATCACTGTGGTACTGAAAGCGTTCACACGCTGCGCTGGATAGTTTTATGTCAACTTGACACAGCTAAAGTCACTGGAGAAGGGGGAGCCCCAGTAGAGCTATATAGGTCTATGAGGCATTTTCTTAATTAGTGATTGAAAGGGGAGGGCCCAGGCCAATTGGGGAAGGGGTCACTGGGGGGGGTAGTCCAAATATCTCAGAGTCCAAATAACTCAAAAGTCCAAATATCTCAGGGATGCTTGTCAAGAGCTTTCCATCTCTGCAATTCCGTGCCACTCACAGTCTCTGGGCAGAGTGGTTTGCAAATGGTGACTTGTTAATATACTGGAGAGGGTGGTAGGAGGTGGCTATGGCAAGTGAGAAACTGGGAAGCCATTTTACCGACCAAATCAAACCATAGTTACTCGGGGGGTGGGGGGAGGGGGGTAGTCATGGTTGTATAAGAAAGCATACTGAGTGAGTCATGAGGAGCCAAACCATTAAGCAGTGCCCTTCCATGGCCCCTGAATCAACTCTGCCTCCAGTTTCCTGCCCTGTGTGAGTCTCTGTCCTGACTTCCTTTGATGATGGATAGTGATGTGGAAGTGTAAGCCAGATCAACCCTTTTCTCCCCAAGCTGCTTTGGTCATGGTGTTTTGTCACAGCAGTAGTGACCCTGACTAAGACACATATCTAGTCTATTATGTAGGAAATACCTCCCCACCCCCTTATTCTGGAAGGAGCCTACGAACCAGGGCGAAGCTTGTTACCAATTCACAGTTGGAATTTCACTCTTCTCCAAGTCAGCTGAGTGTTTGAAAGAGGAGAGATAACAGTAACAGTGCCCAGTGTTTCCTGGAAAAAGAATGCTTTTGGAAGAATCCAAAAGATCATTTGTAAATTGAGGTTCCTCACCTTTACTATGACAGTTTAGCCCAGAAGTTCTTTGCTGTGTGGGACTTTGTGGTCTATAGCAGATTTAGCTGCATTTGGTCTCAGTTTGCTAGATCCCAGTATCACCCCCATCTCTCTACACAGTATGGCCATGAAAAGGGGCTATAGAGCTTGTCAAAGGGTTTTCGAACATTTTGTGTCAACTTTCTTGATCTATATAAACTCTCTACCAATCTACAGTTAAACATTATTTTTACTAGGTGATCCTTCGGCAAAAAGGAGTGAAAGACAGCAAAATAAGTGAATATGCCTTCTATGTTGTTTTCTTCTATATTATCACTGTTGCCTGGTTCCACAAAACACTTAAGTTAAATGCTGGCAACCAAACAAATAACCCACAACTCAAAAGTCCAAATATCTCAGGGATGCTTGTCAAGAGCTTTCGATCTCTGCAATTCTGTGCCACTCACAGTCTCTGGGCAGAGTGGTTTGCAAATGGTGACTTGTTAATACACTGGAGAGGGTGGTAGGAGGTGGCTATGATAAGTGAGAAACTGGGAGCCATTTTACCGACCAAATCAAACCATAGTTTGAAAGAGCCTCTTTTGTGCTCTTCTCAGAAAGCAACAGTGGGGATGCAACTTGAAAGGAAAGTGAGATCAGTGACCCGGAAGGAAATACTATCAATGAATCTGAAGGCATCGCTGTATGGAGAACCAAAATGTTTTCTGCCCTTACTGTAGTTAAAATAAAATTAACATGGGGTATGAGGGTTTTAAGTTATACAGGGGAACACTTTTAAAAGGTTTGTTTTTAATATTTATTTTTAATTATTATGTATGGGTGTTTTACCTGCATGTATGTCTATGCACTGTCTGTGTGAAGTGCCCACTGAGGCCAGAAAAAAAAAGAGTACAGATACCCTGGAACTGGAGTAATGGGTGGTTGTGAGCCATGTAAGTGCTGGGAATTTAACTTGGGTCCTCTAGAAGAGCAGCAAGTGCTCTTAACTACCGAGCCATCGATCCAAGACCTAAAGATTCATTTTAAAGTGTGTTTCTGTGCATATGCACATGTGTGTGTGTGTGTGTGTGCATGCATGCATGCATATGTGTACATAAATGCCAATACTCTCAGAGGCCGGAGGTATCAAAGTTCCTGGAGCTGGAGTTACCATGGTAACATTGGACTGGAAATGAACTCAAGTTCTCTGCAAGAGCAGCACGTGTTCTTACCATCTGGGCCGTCTCTCTAGCCCCCAGGGGAATACTTCTTATAGTTAAAGTTTATATTCAGTACTTTGGAAGTCATCCGTTGGACCTTGCTATTAACATTGTAATCTACCATGTCCAGACAGCTTTCCAGGGCGTGACAAAAAAAATGGAGGACTCCCTTTTAAGAGGGCTTGATCTGGGAAGCCCAACCCCTAAACCTTCTACCTGAGGAATGT